CTTGGCATCATAGTCCCTACGTCCATAGACCCCCGTTACAATGGTGTACCCAATCGATGTTGATTGAACTACTAATTGGCATGTAGGCAGGCAGGCAGTCAGGAATTCAGGCAATCAGGCAGGCAGTCGGGCACATGGTTAGGCAGTTGGGAAATGGGGTGGGCAGTCAGGTGCAGGCTAGGCAGGCAGGTGCAGGGGTGGGCAGGCAGCGTGCGCGGATGTAGGTAGAGCGCTAGCAAATATCATGATTTGCATAGAATTAGATAGACAGATGGGTGAATATATGCGATAGTCGCGTGGAAACCATGTCTTAGTCGATATACCTTTCACCGAGTGATCTCGTACTGCCAGCAAAAACTGTTAGCGAAACCTGTTAACCGGGCCGAAGATACTGGTATTTAGACGCCAGGAGGTCATTTTGCATCTAGACCTGTCGCGACGACATCATCTGACAAAGTGATGCAAAGGTCCCGTCCCGTGGCACCGAAGTGTAAATATGCAAGTAAGAAATTGCTTTGTATCGTTTGGAGCCGCGTCTGAAGCGACTGGAGCACCCAGGCGTCAAAAGACGAGACTTCATTTTTTGCTGATGTATGTAGTAGTCGAAATATGCCCGGTCAGGTTGAGGACATAAGTCAATGGCAGCCAATATAACGTTGGTAATTAGACTAAAGGCGAGGTGACAAGGGCGTATGTCGACTTTCATAAACCAAGATGGGACTATAATGGTAGAGTGGCTATCTTTAATGTCTACTGCCAGAAGACAATCTCGTCTTTACACTCAGACGTCGAGATGAAGTTTTGAGGGATGGGAGAATGTTTTTGTCTTTAGCCTTCGCGATATCGTCGGTTGACCAAGGGACGCATATGAGCAAGATTGTACATATTCATGAGTCTCCCAACAGTCTCCCGGGTCTCCTGAGGTTCTACTGAGACATCAAAATGGATTTTGATTCTCTGGAGACATAGGAGACACTCTACAGAAATTGTTAAACTTGCTGATGCAGGGCTCTCATCGCGGAGCACCCGGGTGTCAGTATGCAGGTAAAAAATCGCTTTGTGTGGTCTGAAGCGTCTGGAGCGTCTGAGGCGCCCAGGCGTCACAAGACATCAGCAAAAAACAGGTTTTGCGAGGATGAATCTGCGCGCCTATATGTACAAATTCGTCTTCCGCGCCCAAAACTCAGTCTATTCATCAGCAAAATTGTACATATTCATGAGTCTCACAACAGTCTCCCGGGTTTCCTGAGGTTCCCCTGAGACATTAAAAACGGATTTTGATTCTCTGGAGACACAGGAGATACTTTACAGAAATTGTTAAGCTTGCTGATGTTGCTCACAAAACCTCGTCCCGCCGCTATCAAAATGTGACACGTCATCTTTAGATGGCTGAAAAGTATACAAAATGTGATATATCGTCTTTTAACGCCTCGTAGACGTCCCGAATATCACACCTCGCCTCTTGACGCGCCACCACCTCCCAAAACGTGACCCACTGTGGCGAATATGCCTAAGTCCTGGCGCTAGCCCTGATCTCGCCAGCTAATGACGTCAGATTTGACATCTCGAGGATCTCCACCTGCTTACCTACTGGCCTACCTGCCTACCTTCCTCTCGATGCCTACCTCAATACCTACCTCCTACCAGCGTCGACACCTACCTCCTACCTGCAGCGATACCTACCTCAACGCCTACCGCCTACCAGCAGCGATGCCTACCTCCTACATGCAGTTATGCCTGGATACGTATTTACCTACCAGTATTTTGACGCCTGTACTGACACCGCTACAGATTGCTAAATAGCAGCAAATCAACTCCCAAATCGACGACCAAATCGACACCAGATTGCATCAAATTTGCAGCAAATTGACGTCCAAATTGACACCCAAAATGACATCAAAACGTCGACTAACTGCACTAAGTCGACACCTAAATCAGCATCAAATCTACGCTCAAATCTACGCTCAAATCTACGCTCAAATCTATGAATGACGGTGCACGAAATCAACGTCAATTAAGCTCCGAATAGGTAAGTAGGTAAGCAAGCAGGTGCGGAGGTACATCAGCAAAATTGTACATATTCATGAGTCTCCCAACAGTCTCCCTGGTCTCCTGAGGTTCTCCTGAGACATTAAAAACGGATTTTGATTCTCTGGAGACACAGGAGACACTTTACAGAAATTGTTAACCTTGCTGATGTAGGCAGGTAAGCAGGCAGGTACGGGGGTAGGCAGGCAGGCAGCGCGCGGAGGTAGGTAAGCAGGCAGCCAAGCGCGGAAATAGGTAGGTCGCTAGCAAATATGTGCATAGAGAATTAGATAGACAGATAGACGAATATATGTGACTGGCGCGCGGAAACAATGTCCTAGTCGATGTACTTTTTGCCGAGTGATCTCATTCTGCCAGCAAAAAATACTAGTGAAACCCATTAACCGGGTCAAAAATACTAGTGTGGAGACGCCAGAAGGTGACTTTGCATCTGGACCTGTCGCGACGACTTCCTTTGGCAAAGAGGCGCACTGGCTCCGTTCCGGTATGCCCCGGCGTCAGTGTACAGGTAAGCAAAAGTCTTGGGGTATCTGGGGCATCTGGTGCATCCCGGACGCCCAGGTTCCTCAAGACGACATGTCATTTTTTGCTGATGGACGAAACTTCATTTTTTGCTGATATGGATCACAAAAAATATGCAATGAGTGCCGGGAAAGAAATCAGGTTGATAGTAGTATTGACTGACCTCCTCAAGCTACAGATTTGAATTTCATAGAGGCTTTATGGAATGATATTGAGACTGAGTTGTAGTTAACATATGGGAATACCCAGTTTACAAATGTAGAGACTCTCAAACATTTACTTAAAGTAGCTTGGGATAATATTGGGATAGATAGATTAGATAGTTTAGAAGCATGCCCCAACGCTTGCAAGCAGTCATTGCAGTAGAGGGGAATGCCGTACCGTACTTATGACTTTTCTCCTCCTTACTAAATAAATTGTTTTGGCTCATTTCATTGGCTCTCACGCTATGGCTTCTGCAAACCCATAACCAATCGTCGTCGAGTTCTGATCACTTTTGTACACACGCGAGCACATAGGTAATAAGTGGTGGAACTGCTCAGACACAGTGATACCTGTTTTGGGTAGAACATCACTAATATACGGTATTCGCAGGTATCACTGTGTCTTAGTGGTTCCATCACTTATTACCTACCGCTGTACTTACGTGCTCTCAATATCATGTACCGAGAAATACCTACTTATTTTACTGCATGTACCAGGATAAGATTTGTATACAAAACTAACAAACCCGAAACCAGAACCTTTGTAAGTCTTACTACCAAATTTACTCTATTATAGATACAGCATATATATAGTAGATATGCACAATATACTAGTAAAGACGCAAAGTCCTCGGGTCCCATGTAGGCTATTTTCTAGCATCATGGTCGGAGGATTAAGGTTAAGAATCACGGGATCTGGAGACTTTGAGTAGACTAATAGAGCATTTGCGCAAACAGAGCAGCGCTGATTTCCAATATCCTGATTAGTACCAATCCTACCATCAGCCAACCAGATAATATAATCCGAATTTAGAGCTGGGATTTTTCGTGCAAAGGCGCAATTAATAACACATTGGTAGCAAGTACAGAGTACAGACACCTAGGCCTACGGTGCTCTAGCTACGGTAGATGTGCATACTCGAGTCTAGGGTACTCTATGTGATGTACCGGGTGTTGAGGGTAAGTGATCAGAATCTGATAAGTGAATGTTACGGTGAATCGGTGTATTTGTCTTATTAGATTCTGATCACTTTTCACTATACCCTAGTACAGACATGTAGAGTGTGTACTCTGTCCCTTCGTCTATTCCCGCGGATCACGTCGTGATAAACCAAAATCTAACGACAATTACATGTATTTAAAGCACTACTCGATTGAGGAATTTATGTGACAATTCTACACCGCCGACAGCCGCTTCCAGCTAGTCTGTGAATTTTGTGTGGTTAGCCACCATGCCAAGGTAGGAAGAGTGCATGTATGTAACAGATGTCAGGTTAAGGCCGATGGGGTAACGGCGTGCCGGCTGTGCAGCTCAAGACTCTGCTCAGGGTTTCACAACAGGAGGAGCTGGTTGGCTGTCGCGACGTCTGCTCCTGCGGCCTTGTTTGGCAATTTACTGATTATTTGCCCCTATGTACGTTGTTCCTGGCTTCCCTTTGCACTTTCTCTCCAGGGTATCGATCGGACTGTTGCTCTTTTGTTTTGTTTCCTCTTTTGATTCCTATTCAACATAAGTGCAACTTCTTCTGTCCAGGGTCCAACCCTTCTTCCTGTTCTTCAACCGCCGGGGACTTCTTAACTTAGTTGACGCTCCCCTACTAGTTCAAACCGGCTTTCACGTTTCCCGGGGGTGGGGTTGTCAGCGTCGCCACCTTCTATAATCTATTACTCCACCCCTGTTGCACTGATGCCTTCATCTTCAGACAGAATCCCACCACTGCCAGTGCTGCCAACTACCCACATCATACTTCCTCAATTTTGTTTGTTTTGTCGCTCACCCACTTCCCACCCACTCCGCCAGTATTCTTCTTCTTCTTCTTCTTCCCGCCTAAATTCACACCTCGCTCGTTACGCCAGTATAAATATACATAACACACATATATTATACATACATAATCATAGCAAATAAATTTTGCTTGCATTTCGCTCGTTTGTTTTCTGTGGCTTCCGGCGGCCACCTCTCTTTTGTTCGTTTCCGATCGAACACTTCTTCCTTTCTTCCTCCACTGTCTAAAAGGGAAAGACAGCTTCCCACTGGGCAATTACATAGAGCCCAGGTAAAAAACACCCTTCCGGCCTTCCTCTCTTCATTCCTAGGAAGTCACACGGCCTATTAATACATACCATACCCCTCTCCCCGACTACTAGAGTTTTTCTCATGCAACTTGGGGGTTCCCCCTAATAAACTTTGTTTCTCCATCGTACTCACCCTTCAGACCATCAATCATGGCCAAAATATCAACCTTCCTCATCTGTCTCTCGCTTTTGTGTCTACTAGTGGGATCTTCGCTGGGCAACCCGGCGCCAATACCCTTTGATGACTTGGAATTGCCCGAACTCGACAAGCGTCAAGACAATAACTCGACTTCCATTTCCTCCTCCTCCTCCTCCTCCTCCTCCTCATCAAGTAGATCAACTACTACATCTATAATTACCCCAACATCAACTACCACTAGCCGGACCACACCGACGACTTCTACGACCACCACAACCCCTACAACCACCACAACCCCTACCCCTCCAGACACAACGACTACAACACCAACCTCGACATCAACAACGGCGAGGCCTCCTGTGGATACTACTTCAACAGATCCTGTGGAGACTACTGCTCAGTCTGAGGATGTAGTCACTGCTAGCCCGACTACTCGTATAGTTGTAGCGACGATTTATACCACCCTCAGTGGAAATGGTGTGGTCAGTTCATACGTCACATCCAGTACCACCGTTGAGACCCCAACTGGGACCGCGGCCAGCCAGGCATCCGGGGGCAGTAACGATGGTGGCTCGGGTCTCTCGACTTCAACGAGAAACACTATAATTGGAGTTGTTGTCGGTGTTGGTGGTGCGCTTCTGTTTGGTGGACTTGCAATTGTTGCGTGGCGTCTGAAGAGGAAGAGGGTCAATCCAATTGATGAAGATGATTTGATGCGTCGTGATGGGTCACCACTTGCTGCAGGCAGGGAAATGCACGCTGCAAGCCCTGAGGCGTCTCCATTTAAAGCTACTCTCGATCAGTACCACAAGCCTCCTGGTGTTAACACCTCGTCCAACTTTTAGGCCAATAATAGGTACTGGCGGCACATTTGGTGCTTGGGGCCCGGGGTTAGAAAATTGATGTACTTCTTTGTTTACTTTTGATCGGTCCTTTTAATACCCGGATTTCTGTTTTGAGTTGTAGCGGAACCTTTATCGTTTCTATATTTTAATTCTTGCAAGGTTAGATTAACGCTGCCGGATTCTCCCGTTTCTCATGTCATCGATGGATTTAGGGGTTCTTATGAGTGGATTGTTATGGATATGCTGTGAAATGCTTTTCTTATTTTCTACATCTTGGTTGAGGGATATTACAAGGCATCCAACGGATACCTTCAAGGTACATGTAGTGTATATAACTCACTGCTCCAAGTTTGCATTTTCCTTCTATCCATAATGGGATATGTTATGGAGAATCGTCTTGAGCGTTTTATGTATTTTACTTCCCAAATCTTGATTCTTCAACCTGTCTATTATTGATTTCTTAGCCCATTCGATGCAGCGTGTGTAGATACATGTACCATGTATGACGGATGTATGAAATCTACCTATCTTTAATATGTGAAAGTGACTTTCTGAAGTATCAGGTAATTCCCTTTCCTGTTCTAGGGACATACATGTATGTAGATCTCCTAATTATAATCACAGACAATAGAGTACATGTACCTTAATCAAGGATAAGCTCAAAAACGCACTGCTGTTAAGAAGATACGCCGTTTACCACCATTGCTGGTAGAAGTATTGATTCGATAAAAGCGCTGGCTGGGGCCATCACCTCTTATAGGCAAAGGGCCCAAGCAACTTTGGACTTTAGTAGGTCTACATGTGGGGATATATGTATCTACATATGTAGATACATATATCCAGTGCACGTGGGGATTGGCGCAAGGTCAAGGCTCGCATTAAACATAATATTTATATAATATATCTATATAATGAGGATGAGATTAAGATACATGTGTTTTGGTCCCTATTAGGATAATGATAGCCTACATATCCATTGCGCGATCCTTATGCACTTGTGAATATGGACCAGACCAGCGATCCAGCACAGCAGCGCTCCCAAGGTCTCAATTGATCAGTCAAAGTACGTGTAGTACAGCGGCTCGAACAGGCCAGGGACTAGAACCGATATGGCCTACATATATGTAAACTGCCTGAACGTAAATCATCGTTGCGAAGCAAAACCACACCAAAGAACGTCAAAACCAGCCCTTTTCAAATGGCCCCAGAACCCACCACTTTAAGATATAACTTATACCAATCGGTAAAGGATAACTTAATAGTTTGGAGAACCATCTGGCAGTATTAAATCCCAAAAATAATCATTGTAGCATGGATGGTAGAGTATTTTGTTCGGTTGTTCTCAGAAAATGTGCCAAGACCTCGAATTTGTGGGGTCTTGGCCAAATCCCAAGGTTTGCAAATTCATATAACTTCCCATATATTTGATGAAAAGAATTATAGCTCAGAATATATGTTCTTCTAAGGTGTATCTTACTATCCTGAAAGTTTCGTGGTGTTTAGATAACAATTGAAGCTTAGGGAGGTGGCCAGTTTTGGTCAGTTTTGGTGTGTTTCGGCGCGAAAACGATGATTTAAAGAACTACATGTATACTTACGTGTATCATCTCCCTGACAATGTTTGTGCAGTGTTATTAATACATGCATCTTTGATAGGTCGAGGTAGTGCATTTACTCAAGTATTAAACTGAATACTCTACGCGTTAATTAAGTTCTGAGAATTCTTGGTAGCAACGACCTCACAAAATTTCTCAGGACTTAATTAACGCGCGAGTAGATGTAATCATAAAAGACAAACTCCAAAATAAAGAAATAGTACAATGTAACTACATGTACATACATACATGTAGTCAGTCTCGTGCCAATCCCCACGAGCATCAGGCTGGCAGGAGTGCTAGGGACGGTCCTAAGAGATACATGTACGGTGTCGGACAGCCAAAATCAGCCGGCTAGAGCAACCACCGACTCCCCTTCACCCCATCGACTTTCAACAACACTTGTCCAGAAATAATGTTCTTTTGTAAAATGGGTCTAATCATGGTTGTAAACATCCCCATAAAAGGGGATTTAAAATAATTAAGAACTGGCTGCACTATGACCTCTCAAACATTTGGTGCAATCTGCCCGAAAAAAACATAGGTGTGAAATAATAACTTTAATAGCTTTATGCCAAGGCGGCTACATTAATTTGGGATAATTCTTATCATGTTGGGATAATTAGATGATCATTATTACCCGATTAAGACTAGTTTCTGGCTTGACTGTCCGGCGCTGTACTCGGGGCAGGCATGAAGAACCTGAACATCGTTTTTCTGGTACCAGCCACGTTTTCACGTCCAGGTTCTTCATGTACATGTGTGTACCTACATCATACAGGACTTGAAGCCCTAGCCCCGAGCCCACAGCCCTTCACACACCCCACTTCCCTCCCGGTTGTCGGTACGGTAGCCCACTGAAACAGCGAATCACGGATCAGAAAGTGACCACAACGAAAAAGATCCTGACCCGGTTTCTTCCCTTAGAGGAAAAAAAAAAGGCACAACCTCTCCTCCTCAGCCCCCGCCGTCATAAGTAACCTCATAATCTTTCATCTTCACTTTCATCGTACCCCCCTGCAAACACCATCAAAAATGTCTATCCCCGCTTTCGCTGACATTGCTAAGCCTTCAAACGATGTATGTTCCTTCTCGCCATTTGTCTTGAACTTGGACACTATAAATGTTGGGTCAGCTGTGCTAACAATCCATTTGATGTAAAGCTCCTTTCTAGGGATTTCTACCACACTGCCTCTGGTGGGTCTTTCCGTGGCTTTTTCAAATCTTGCACTTCATGCTTGTATTCCTCCCGATTCAATTATAGTCTAACCCATAGTACAGCCAACCTTGAGGTCAAATCAAAGGCCCCCAATGGCGTCGCGTTCACTGTCAAGGGAAAGAGCGACCACAAGGCCGGAGCTATCGCTGGTCAGGTATGTACACAGCGTCTCATACAATTCCATTTGAGTTTGGCAGCGGGACTAATTCCAATTCTTCTATACAGATTGAGGCCAAGTACACCGACAAGCCTACCGGTGAGTTTCTTCCATACAATTAAATCTACCTTTCGCAAACTGATGATGAATCCGTAGGTGTCACCTTGACCCAGGCTTGGACTACCGCCAACGCTCTTGACACTAAGGTTGAGCTCGATAATACCCTTGCCAAAGGCCTGAAGGCCGAGGTTATCACCAACTTCTTCCCCTCTAGCAAGTCCAAGGGTGCTAAGCTCAACCTCCACTATCGCCAACCCCTCTTTCACGCTCGCGCTTTCTTCGATCTCCTTAAGGGTCCATCCTTCAACGGTGATGTTGTCCTCGGACACGACGGGTTCCTCGCTGGTGCCGAAGTCGGATACGACGTTGTCAATGGCAGGATCACCCGTTACTCTGCTGCCGTCGGATACTCCGTTCCAGAATACACCGCTGCCATCACAGCTACCAACAACCTGAACGTTTTCGCTGCATCCTACTACCACAAGGTTAACGCTCAGGTCGAGGCTGGTGCCAAGGCAACTTGGGACGCAAAGAGCGGGAACGCTGGTGGTGTTGGTCTGGAGATTGCCTCCAAGTACAAGTTGGACTCTGCCGCCTTTGTCAAGGCCAAGATTAATAACCAGGGAATCGCTGCTCTTGCTTACAACCAGCTTCTCCGCCCTGGTGTAACCCTTGGTCTTGGTGCATCCGTTGATACCCAGCGTCTGAATGAGTCTGCTGCCGCTCACAAAGTCGGTCTTAACTTCGTTTTTGAAGCTTGAACGTAAAACTTTAAAATAATTTGGGCAGAACTTTGTAATAGCTCTCCACCCATTATTCGCATGGGGATTCAGACTAACGAAACCTAGAGATACCATGGCGAAGTAAGAATCCGGGAGTATATCGATACGCATGGAGTTCCAAAGTTGGCGTTTGTAGAGTATTGAAGTTCTTAAAAAAGAAACAAAGATTTCATTCATAATTTTCTAGAGTTCTTCCGTCCAACATTTCCTTTTAATATCCAATGTACGCTACAGGCAATTTCTTGAGCACTTTTGGTACAAACTATCTGTGAGGTAATGATCGATATCAGCTCAAGCTAGATATTTTTCCTCAACCCAGGACACTGTCTTACTCGACCAGAAATTATCCCTCAAGACAAGCTTTCTCGGACCATGTTCCGGCGTGTTAGATGCAGGAAGCCGCTTCTGTTCCAAATGAGTAGCAATGACACAATTATCCATAGCTCCAATTACACCTCAGAAAGTAACCATGCTCTGCGCTCAGTGTACATGACTTGCTAGCACCCGCCATTAAATATATCCCATTAAAGAACTAGGCTTTACGGGGTTACATAAACAGCTATTGAAACTACTCCAACTAATATAGTTGTTACACCAATTAATGGGTATATTATACTGGTATCGGGCTCAAGTCGGTGCTGTTTAGCTCTTCGTGCCCACCGGCTCTGCTGCTCCTCATGTTGCCGATACTTTTGTCCGTAGTTGAAATGGGGAACATCATCAGTCCTTGCAGCTGTTGGACCACCCGCTCCAAACCCCCCAGGCCCGCTACCTGGGCTAGAATCAGGCCTTTCTTGCCCTGCATGTGCAGACTTCCCTTTGAACCTACTCCACCCACCATTTCTGAAAAACGAAGGTGGTGGCCCGTGAAACTGGCCGCGCCTCTTGCTTAATCCACTCGCAGGTCGACCCCCTACAGGGCCAACGGGCCTGCTCCCATGTTTCCGTGCGAGTTCGAAATCGTATTTAGCGCGGTGTTTTTCATGCCCAAGGACAGCATAGGCGGTGCTTATCTTGATGAAGCGGTTTGAGGCTAGTGGGTCACTACGGTTGCGGTCCGGGTGATGTGCTTTGCTTAATTCAAAGTATCGTCTATATATGGGTCAGTTGTTGCATGTAGAGAAAGAAAGTGAGTATATTATAGATAGTTTTACTTTTTGATCTCTGCCCGCGTTGAATTCGAGGGGAGATCGAGAGTTTCGTAATGGGTGTTTCCCTCAGTTTCTGAATGATATATGGCGGAGGTGCGAAGATGCCTATTGAAACGGAAGGCATGGGTTCTAGAGACGGTGCGAGAAATCGAGCGCGGTAGCATCACCTACGGATCATACCGAATTGCAGTACTGGTTTGGGTATATGGGATTATATCATTTATGAGAAGTTCAGAACACCTCCTGATAGATATTGTATGACATGACGTCTGTGGAGGGGCACTTTTATTTGCGGCTGAGTGGCTGGTGCGCAAAATGCCGTGCAACCGCTCTCATCCAACCCCACCACTGGGGGAAATAAAGGAGGTATCACGCATCGCCTATCCCATTCTCCCTTCCTAGTAACCAGCTCATCCTCTAGTAAACCGGTCACTTTTGCGGTTGAAGGTTTGAAGATCTTCTTTTTAAAAATACCCCAATTACTTTGTTGAGAATGGGCAGTATGGAGACGACTGCAGCGGAACTTGAACAGAAACTTAAGGGTATTGATTATTATAACTACCCCGCATGATGTAGAGACCATTCACTGACCTTCTGAGCCTTTCCTTTTGTTTAGTTTCCGAGGAGAAAAACAAAGAGGAAGTTCCTTCAAGTGGCCAAGCAGCTGACGAAGACTCTGGAGACGAGGATGAGGTAGACGCTGCACCTGCTGGAGTGACGGGTTTGTTAAACCAGCCACATTAAGCACTTGTTATTTTAGTTCTAAGGCGTATATAGGAGCTGCAAAGAAGAAGAAGAAAAAGAAGAAGCCCAAGAAGAAGACAAAAACAGGGGCCACTGCCCAGTCTAACCCTCCAAGAGTACCGATAGATCAACTATTTCCAAATGGAAGTTTCCCCGTAGGGGAAGAGTGCGACTATAGGGATGAGAATTTGAAAAGGAAGACGGACGAAGAAAAACGACATTTGGACCGCATGAACAACGACTTTTTGACCGAATATAGGAAAGGGTCGGAGATTCATCGTCAAGTGAGGCAATGGGCCCAAAAAACCGTGAAGCCGGGCATGACTCTCACACAAATTGCTGAGGGAATCGAAGATTCTGTGAGAGCGTTGGTAGGACATGACGGACTCACTGAGGGCGATTCCCTTCTGGGTGGAATGGGGTTTCCTTGCGGTTTGAGTATCAACAATTGTGCTGCCCATTACTCACCTAATGCTGGAAACAAGATGGGTAGGTTTGCCATCCACAACAAATGAATTTCGACTTTTATCCTAATAATTTTCTATAGTTTTGCACCAGGAGGACGTCATGAAAGTAGACTTTGGCGTTCACGTAAATGGAAGGATTGTCGACAGTGCTTTCACCATGACATTTGACCCTGTATACGATAACCTTCTGGCTGCAGTTAAAGATGCGACAAATACTGGTATTAGGGAGGCTGGTATTGACGTCCGTATGTGCGACATAGGCGCCGCGATCCAAGAGGTCATGGAAAGTTACGAAGTAGAGATTGGTGGCCAGACCCATCAAGTCAAGCCCATTCGTAACCTTAATGGACACAATATCAACCAATTCCAGATCCATGGTGGAAAGAGCGTTCCTATAGTCAAGGGCGGAGACCAGACAAAAATGGAGGAGGGGGAAACATTTGCTATAGAAACCTTCGGAAGTACGGGTAAAGGATATGTTAGGGATGATGTGAGTCCTTACTTTCTTATTTCCATTTTACTCAACCCTCTGCTTATGGTTTACTGATTGCTTCTTACAGCTTGAAACATCACATTATGCCAAGAACCTAGACGCACCCAATGTGTCGTTACGTCTATCTTCGGCGAAGAACATCCTTAACATCATTCAAAAAAACTTTGGTACCCTGCCGTTCTGTAGGAGATATCTTGATCGTCTTGGGCAAGACAAATATCTTTTAGGAGTTTGTTATCCACGGTCCTTGGATTCATAGAAGCACACTGACCTAGTTTAGTTGAACAACCTCGTGGCAAGCGGGATCGTAGAAGCTTATCCTCCATTATGCGATATCAAGGGCTCTTACACCGCCCAATTTGAACATGTAAGTTTTTTGGGGGATGCTATGTTTTTTAAATTATGGTAACTGATATTCCTTCTTTAGACGATCCTTCTTAGACCAACAGTAAAGGAGGTAATTAGTAGGGGAGATGACTATTAGTGCGTGCACTTGTGGCCATGCTTTTTACATTAGCAAGGTATCAAAAACTGGTTCCTCACAACCAAGGGTTTAGCTGTGAAGCATTCTTTGTATCAATATTTAGTAACACAAAAATTTGCTGTATCATATGAAGTTTAGTCTGACGTGAACGAACATTAGACAAGTTAGTCTCATCGTTATAATTAATGGGCCATTTTCGTTCCTGGTGCAATGTCCTTGTGCTAGGTATCCTGTTGCGATGGGAGAGTCTTAGCTGTACGAATTGTTCCGAACCAATGAAATCACATACGGGCGTTAATGATCGATTTGACAGAATAATTTCAAGGACACAACAGTTAGATTTACATGTGTAAAGCCCACGGCAAGGCTATTTAAATGCTTCTCAGGTATACATGTAGTTTTAATAAATATTTTAATAGACTGTTGTAGATTCAAATCCAGTCATCGTAGGAAAGATTGCATACATGCGTCCAGAAGAACGTCATTTGACCGCTACCTACATACATGTACACGCTCTTCTCGTTCTTTCCTGACATTTGTGGACGCGACTGATAATGCATGCCATACAAAAATGCGCCAGGCTCATGATTTTAGATACCAATAAGTGGTTTCCGGCCTTCGGCCGGTACTATATGTATATCAATCAATTTACTATATGTACAGGCAAGCCGCCCCGCGGCCCCCCCCCCCCCCCACCCCAAAACTCGCCTGCCAGGCAAAGTCCATCACTATATCTGCTCTGGTCGATATGTGCCTTCTCTGATATCCAACACAACATGTTTCAAGTGAAATAAAACCTTTCTTAATGAGCTAATCAGAAGCCTTTAAATGCACATACATATGCAAATTATAATTATATACTTATTGCAGATAGTGGCCCAGTTTAGAGTGCAAACGTCAGAAAAATACAACTACTACATGTATGTATAGTTCTTGTTCAAAAGTGACGGGACAGCAACCCAAACCACACCAAAGAAATCCCCGAAACTAACCATTTTCAAAAATTCTATATATCTCAGCACCACTTCTTGGTGTATGATAATGAATCAGAAGCTATAGAATCATTAGGAGAACCCAAATTGGCATTTATATTCAAAAACAAATCATTGGTGTGTCGGTAATAAAGAATCTGGTGTAGGAGTTGTTGGAATTAATTGTCTTGGCAGAAATTTTGGGTGTCCCTCAAATTCTTGGGCGGAAGTCGGCCTATACTATTAGTTTCAAGGTCTATCTATTGGTGGTGGAGCCAGGGGAGAGCTGCAAAAGTCCATATTTTGGAACTGGAACTAGATATACAAGCGGGGTGCGGCCGAGCCTGCAGCCGCAAATGTGGTGAGGAAGTAGAGGTACGCCGGTACTAATATATATTGAAGCACTGAATTTCATCTCTCCTAATGAGCGACCTGTGATATATTAGCTCGAATGTACTAAGAACTAGGTGAGTGAAGAAATGTTCTCTGACTTCTCTCAGCCAAAGCAAGAGAGCTGTCTATATAGTCCCTGCCCGCCCAACCTTGTACACGCAGCATGTACACGTAGTTGACAAAAGCCAGTTTCCCTTTCCCGAAAGTCGAATAAAACTATAGCCATGTACATACATGTAGTTCTGTCAGTGTTTGTTCTTTTATATCTGTACTAGACTAGGTTTTCCCCTAAGCTTTGTTACCAACCGGGGTCGTCTCATGATGCCCCATCTCAATTTATACTATCAATTCAAACCAAGTTAGTGAATGAAATTATAAAGCCTCTTTTCCTTGCTACTCTGGCCTGGAACCTTTCTGCCTTTGGAAGTACTTTCCCGGCCGGAGTAAACAGAACAGTCATTTTATTGAAGGACTATTCCGGCATAGTACATGTAGTTGGCCAGCTCCAGTAGTTTCCTTGCCCATGGCCAGTTAACCATAGCCAGCTCCCATAGTCGCTCATCGCCAGCTCCAGCAAATGTCCACCTCCTCCGTAGTGATCCAGTTCCTTCAGTTAATAATAAGTTACTAATTTAATATGGTACCAAATGCCACCTCCAGTTAATTCCACCTCCAATGCCATCCTGTTAATGAATTCGGCATGCCAGGGTCGCAGCCCGCTCCCAATGTTTGGTGGGTGGCTGGTTGCTGTGCAGGGTTAGGGTTCCTCGCTCTCGACCAATCATATGCCCAAGCGTTTAGAAAAAGATAATACATAGATGTATTGGGCGACTTCCCGTGAATCTGGATGCGAATGCCTTCCCATGGCGAACAATATTTTCTAGATTTTTAAGTACTGCTTTGGTTTAGTGCGTAACATTAGGACCCACCCGGAACCTTTCTTAACCAATCGTATTTCGCCCTTTCAAATTTTAAAGATTTAGGAATTTGAACGTACCCCCCTCCCTCCCCATTCAGATTCTGAACCTGGAGCGTTGCCATCCAAATTTTATTACTCTAAACACCTTCTAAACGTCCACGGGAAGTCGCCCATTATCTCAGGGACTTTCGAAACGTCTCTCGGGCATTTGATTGGTCAAGAGCGACAGGGGTGGTTTAGTAGACACATCAAAATACTGGGCGGGGCGGGGGGAGTAGGAGGTAGAAGGTCCCCATTGAATGCCTTCCATAATTCTTGGATCATTATGGGTATCAATATTGGAAGGCCTTCTATGGAGGACTCCTTCCACCCTTCCACCTCCCTCGATCACTTCCCACTATCTCCACTACCCTCCACCTCTAAATCCATCTCTTCCACCGTCCTCCACCGCCCTCCACGTCCCACTCCACGACCACGGCCTCCAACTTCGTTGCTCCCAGTACACCTAGTTAAATCATTAAATTAAATTAAATTCATTATATTACAAAACAAAAATATAGACCTTTTTAAATATTAGTGAACCGTGATTGTCATGGGGTTAGGGCTCCCCGCTCTTGACCAATCGTATTTAGAAAAACCATAATCTACTATGGTGCGCACACTCTTAAAGGTGATATGGTGGCATACGGAAGTGGAACAATTGTGGCTGCAATAGGGCCTCATGGGCCAATAAGAGGGCCCATTTCTAGCCATTCTGCTGCATTACTGCCACGGATCAGTCAGGTTTGCTTTTCTGGGGGTATAAATGGGTATAATACTGTTCCACTTTGTTCAGTCTTGGCGCATTTTACATACAAAAATACACAATTTCAACCTCTGATAACTTTCCAACCCAGACAGATATCAAAATTCTGCTAAAATAGAACTAAAATTCATCACTTGAACTAGAGTTCTATTTTACCGCTTTTTTTTTACCATTTTTAGTTGCAAAGTTATCAGCCTTTGACATTTCGTCGCGATCCGCTACCTTTAAGCGTGGGCGCGCCATACATACATGTAGTTAGTGTCACGTGATATATGCAGCTCATGCGGCTCAAATGCATGCCAATTTTCTCTTCCACACAACGGCCCTATCCATCGAACAGACATTCTTACACAGCTACCCCAAAGAAGATCGAAAAGATGGTCCAAGAGGTAATAAAATGGTTTTTCCCACCTTTAAGAACTTACTCACGTTGTGATAGGTAATGCGTCTCCCGCCTCTGCGGAATCTCCGCGTCACCAATCCCAACCAGGCCTCAAAGAATCCGTGCATCGGTGTGATGGCGACGCTGTTAAGTTGCTGGGCCTCTCAAGGATATGCTGTGGAAGGGTGTGGAAAGATTGAAGAGCAGCTGAGAAGCTGCATGGATGCTAAGGTGGATGACTTTCCTAGCACCCCAAATCTGTGGGAGAGCGTAGGCTTACTGGACCATGTATGGTGAAACAGAAAGGACCTCCGATGAAGAAGAACAACATCAATTATCACTTGGGACGATTATACCCTATGATAAAGCCCCCACACAAGAAATGGAAAGGTTACCAATAGAGAAAGGATCATTGATGGCGAGGTAGAAGGCTTCATTCTTGTATAATACGAAGGGTTTCACGGGAATATGGAAGGGAAATAAACTTGAATTCCCCCCCCAAAAAAAAGTTTGTTTGGTTTTGGGAAACATCAATGTGATATGGTTTTTATGTTTCGGCAAGCTCAGATCAACAAGTGAGATGCCGAGATTGAGGATTAATAGGTTTCTGAAAGATAGTTTCAATATTTACCTTGATAACTTTTAAAACTAGCGCCTACTCGCGCTGCTTTCAGATGGTTCTTTGGGCGGTTCCAAACTGGCTGGTTTCTATGGGAAGTAGCATATAGTTTAGCTATTTTTGCCGGATGCAAACTGTGTTCAAAAGCCCCCAGAAATATTGTGGGTTATCAAAATTACCTGGACACTCACGTAAATTAGCTAAAATAACTAAACTTGAAACTACTTCAGTTGAGCTCATATCGAAGCTTAAGATAATGGAGGCATAAGAAATCACAAAACGAACTCTCTTGTCTTCTTACCTCGTAGTTGTGGAGAAAGGCGACGTTGAAGTTGTTTTCCCATACAAGATTTGGTTGCAACCAGTGTCCGGACAATTTTAATAACTCACAATACCTCCTCGATGTATCTTTTTAATCGCCCCACTAATCACCCAAATAGTGCAAAAACTGATATAAATGGAACAAAATACCGAATCCGAGGTAAAAAGAGCTCTCGGCGGCCGGAAAAGCTTCTGAATGGTTAGAAATACAGTGAGCCGCAAAGAACCCCGTACCACGCCTCGAAAACAACAGAATTTGTAATAGAAAGAGTGAAACAGAGCCCTCGTTTAATCATATGCACATCTCGGCGATCTACACCCGCACAGGCAAGATCGAGGAATACTTAGCTTGATAGTCGAGCTTGTCACAGAGATCGTGGGGTCAGACCTTTTTCCCCACGGATTTGCCCCACACTTTGCTTAGTTTTATGTGATGACGTAGGTAGTGCTCAGCAGCCGTCTTATTTAAAAAGACGGGCAATCCTCGAACTTAGGGATACTTTCTATTGCTCATATCGTTACGAATACGGCGACTCCAACTCCAACCAAACTTGATAAATACCTTACCTCACAATGTCTCAAGAAAGCGCAAGCCCTCCCGTTGTAGGATCTTATACTCAAGGGGATGGATACAACACACAAGCAGACTCATACAAGTCACTGGATGAGAACGCGAACCCTCTTCGCAGGGTTTCTACCACATCATCTGTTGATGATTCTCCTCGTCAGGATGCGCAAGGGAAGAAGAAACGACTGGTATGCTATATTTAAATCCTTCCCTTGGCTAGTTAAATATTATTAAAATCTCTAACATGTTCGCTGTTACATTCAGTCATTCGGAGGGGGTAATGATGGTCGAGGAGGTCCAATGTTCAAGAACCTTGAAACCATAAGAGGGCACCACACATCTGAGGGTTACAATGATCAAAAGCCTATGGATGGTTTCATTGGTGCTGCTTTCAAACGATTCGTCTCTCCTAAGCACTCAAGTACCGTTGCGGGTGGCAAAGTGTAACGGATATGACTGTTTTCTATCAAGGGCATTTGACTTTCCTTTATATGTTTAGTTAGGAAACATTCAAGCTTCTCTATGAGTGATGTGGAATGACGTATATAAAATTGAAATTGAGTTGTGGTTTTTCTCTTTAACAAGAGTATATGACGATGCATACTCTCAATGCGTGATAATTTAACTACTCTACAGTCATTCACCGCCGCTTGACGAATACTGCCAGTTAACGAACAGGGGATTTTGGGCCAATATAAATTAAAAGAACTGGAGATCTCGCAGCTTTGCTGTTGCTTGACTGTTCATTGCCATACTTGGAATCCCTGTTGGTCAAGTGGCAGTATTCGTCAAGAGACGGCGAACGACTGTAAGTTAAGCAGAATAAATGACTGTATTTGGATCTCGATATTTTCAGCGGCTACAGCGACTTGCCATTAATAGCCCTACCAGGCCTTTATAACTCAATACTTTCAGAATATACAGTTTCAATTTCTCGGACTATGTGAGTAGGTCTAAATTATCTGCCGTAGGGCTCCGAAAAAAAAAAAAAAAAGAACTCCTATAGGTTGATTATCTACTTTGCTCGAGAAAAGCAGTCACGTATTATCACTCGACGTTTATCAGAACCTATGATACTGTATATCATTAGCGAACAACTTCAGAATGTGATTAATCATATATCGCGATCCCAATTGTACATAGAGTAGGAAAGAAAAGAAGAAAGACACAATTCTGCATATCCATGGAGATCTGGCAGAGAGGGGCAAATCAGATGTATTGAGATGATATGTTGAGAATCGGACTGAGTCTTGGCCTTAAGATCTTGCAGTGCCAGAGATGATTGGACCGAGACGAGTCATGAGAGAAACGTAAGGTAGGTACTCTACTCTACAGAAGAGGAAGGGTACAGGAATATTACATGTAAGATAAATGCCATGTAAGAAACTGCGATCCGATCCTCTACAGTAATGTAGAATAGTAGGTACTGGTAGAGTGTGTATTTTACCTGGACCGATAGATCTGACCCGCCATAGGACTACAATCTGAATATATTGGTGTGGCGAAAGAGTAGAGTACTTGCCAAAAAATAAGGTCTGTGGATGAATTAAGGCTATTGTACTCGGGTGTGGGCATAAGAACCAGAAAATGCAAGTGAGGATACAAGGATTATTTGTATGGAGTGGCGCCGCTCTGCCATACAAATAACCCTATTGCATTCCCTGGTTCTTTCTCCCCGAATAGACGCCTTCCCGGGCCACTCGAACAACCCCCCTCACTCGAACAGTTAACTTAAAAAAGAAAATATCTGCGCTGTAACCGGTTTCTGTACCTCTTGAATTGGGCTTCTCCACCAATAAGCATCAACTGTTCGAGTGAGGGGTGTTCGAATGGTGGGGTGGTTGCAACAGTTCTCACTGTCAACAGACTTACGGCCACTGTCAACAGACTTACCCCTACTTGCTAGTACTTGGCGTTGCAACGGTACTTATGTAATTCATCCACAGACTTTGTTTTTTGGAGTGGAGTATGTGTTGGATGTATCCAAGCCTTCTTTGATTTATCGACTGCGCCAAAATAGGTAGGTGTGCTGTCGCACCCCGCAACGAGAGCTATTAAAATTTAACACGTGATCCTACATAAGTACATGTCGTGGTAACCCACCCACCCAACCCATCTTGCCCCAGATGTCATCATCCATCGTTTGGACGACTACAACCACTCCCCATCTCACTTGGAATTCATAGTATCTATGGCGGATTTCGAGGCGTCAAACAGGACGCCTTTATCTCACAGTAGGCGTCATTCGAGAAGGTCAACAGGAAACATCAATTTCAGTCATTTGTCGTTATCACCGCTCACATCGGCCTCTATAACAGAGCGGGATTTCAAGAAAAAAAGTGAAACGAGAAGGCCTGGTTCTTATATTCAGGGACTTTCGGTCGGTTCCCCCATCCATGTATAGTCTATTTCTTGAATTAGACCGATAAGCATGGGATTCCTATCCCTTCTTTTCGGCATAAAGAGAGGAGCCACAGCCTACCCGTTTTAAACAAGCATCCCTATGTACATATGATCTTCAGAAGACTCGAGCAAATCATTTACATAATTTTGTAATCTTATAGGCACCAACGACTCCCGGAATTCTCTCCAGAAACCAGTCCTTCACCTCGCAACGTAGCTTCCACACCGAACTTCCCAAATCCAAATCATCCTCCCATCTAACGAGTTCACATTCTACATCTAATCAATGGCTGCAGAGGACCGGTGCAGCGCTCACGTCGGAAACGCGCGAAAGCAAAGGTCAGAGTTGGTTAACTAGCCGTGCTAGTTCAACCAGCCTTGTCAGGGAAGGGGACGACGACGACGGTAGCATATACTATGGTGCCGATGACGAGTTCTCGCCTCTCACACCAAGGCGCCGGCTATCGAGGAACTTTAGCGGCGAATTCTATACGAATGGATTGGAGGCACTTGAGGAAGACTTCAGTCCAACACGGGGAGATCATTGCCATGAAGGAGAGGAGGAGGAATGGAAGAATCGGGTGGGGGCGAAGAGAGGGAATATATTGATATTCCCAGAGGGTTTGGAGTTGGCCAATTTGTGGATCGACTGATTGGGTGGTCGGTATTTGCCGACGATGATACTGATTCCGACGAATCTTTGGATGGATATGAAGAGGAACGTGTGTGTGTAAAGGGTAAAAAAGAACGTGGGAGAGTTGAGACGCCGGGTGATCGGAGCGTGCGAGAGCAGCAGCGGCGACTGAGGGATGAAGGCGAAGGATGGCAAGATCCCGGGTGGGTTTTTGATATTGTGTCACAGATTTTTCTTTGACAAGCTTCAGAGTGTAGGAAGTTTTCCCTGTCAATTTAGTGTAATGTAAGAGCCGGCTCATGGTGCCTGTCACGATAAACCTACAGCACAGTCTCCCTCCACTATAACGGACCTGCATATTCCAAAATTTCTCGTTCAAAACCTGTTCGTAATAGCATATTTGTGGCTTTATTGGCATTCGGTATAGCGGAGGTAGACTGTATTTCCCTTGCAGAAACCCTCCCCGCGCCTAATCTATCTGGACATCCAAAAAATAAGAAAGTCGAAATTCTAAGAAATAAGATCTGTAGGTAATTACCCGGACCATAGATTCTATTTCCCCGTATTCTCTATTTCGTTTTATTGAAGGACTAGATAGGTCTACAAATCCGCCTACCCAAAACCAGGGTTTTTGACAGTTTCTTCCTCCGGAAATAGTTATTCCGTTAGAATATATACTTAATTGCTTCGAAAAACAGATATATATGTGCCTAATAAATCGTTTTTCATCTGGGCGATTGGCGCAAGTTGTAGGTTTATCGAGATGGTACCATAGACATTGGCTGAAACGGTATCGCTGAGGATAAGGGCTGAATCGCCTTATAACCATGTGGCTGGCATCGCATATGTAGGTATCTGATTGTCTAAGGAGCACGTGGATCTTACTTTGCCCGACTGGTAGGGATGGGTCCGGAGAGTCTAGACTACAAATTTGATGCAGCTTAGTGTGTGTTTTATACAGTGAAAATGTACATGATAATGTTCACAAGGCATAACGACGTCCACGCCAGTTCATCATAGCACAAGAAATAGGTGGGATTGTATAGCCCAGATAATGAGAACGAGAAGGAAAGAAAAAGAAGGAAAGGATATATGAGATACACCGAATAGGAAAGCAAGTAAATAAGAAATTCCGGTTATGGAAGAGAGTAAATATAGAAAACAGTAACTGAAAGTCATAAACAACCCAGAGGCAATACCCGCGAGAAAAAATTGGAGGCGAGAAGAGAAGAGAAGAGAAGAAAAACGAAGAAGGATAATTATTCAGAAAAACCGCCCCAAGCAGCGAAATGATGTCTACCAACTACGGACAGGGACTTGAACACCCGCAGAATGCATATTGAAGTTCCTTCCACTGAATTTATTAGTTTCTTTGCCGTAATCGTCGTGTCCCACGGCTTGCTTTAAATGTACCAGAGCAGATTGCATCCTCCCTTGCGACTGCTCGACGTGTTTAGCAAGCTTTGCTCCCCAACCACCATATTCTAATTGGATTCCAGCTCCACGCTTAGCTGCTTCTTGTACTACCAACACCCACGCCTTTGTAATCTCTTCGTAGGCCATATTTTTCGAATGATTGTGAAGCGGATTGTCCCAGTTGGGTAGGCGGTGAATGATGTGGGTTGCTTCATCCAAAAACGTCAAGCTTGTAGTGGCTTGTGATTCGTTTGGAGGGAGAAAGTGAGGAGTGTAGTCGGAAAGTGCGTCGAGAAGCTCATTAAGTGCAGGTCGGACACGATTGAATGCATAATCTGCTCCGGAGTTGCCACCATAAGGAAAGGCTAACCGCATTGTGCTTTCGTAATTACTCAAAGTCGATAGAGCTGAGTTTACCGTAGGCCGTGGAGCCAATGATAAAACCTCGGTGGTAAGCCCTGGGTGTCGATCACAAATGGTTTGTAACATCGATTTTAAGGTGTGAGAGTCGACCGTTTCAAGCAGGCGGGTGAGCGGTAGAGGTCGACCGGTAACGTCGCTGCGTTGGCGCTTACTGATCATGCGTTGAGAGGCGCCGGGCGAACGAGGAAGATTATTTGTTGAATTCATTTGGTTATCTTCTGAATAACGGTTGTCGTCGTGCATACCGGACCGTCCATCATCCTGCTCATCTGCCTTTCTTTTTTTACCTCCTTGAGAGGCTTAACAGAGGATTAGAAAATCTTCAAATTCGAGTGCAAGTACAGGATTCAAAAGCAGCAATAGTTTCAAAAGGGAAACGCGGCTTACCAAAACGAAGAGGCGGGGAGTAACGAACATTTGAGGGATGAGAGTTAAAAGACGGTGAATCAGGAAGGTTGTTCATTATGTGCTTGGAGAGGAGAATTAATGGATAGATGTTAGGAAAGCGGCGAGGCTAAGTTTTTTATTTTTATTCTGTAATATTAATCTCCTTTTGTTGTGATTGTTGTTGATACCACTACTTGATGGTGGTGAAGGAGAAGGAGGGGAGTTGGAGGGATTTGGATTGTATGTATGTACGTAGCAGATCCACTATCCAAAGAGAAGGAAGGGAAAGGGAAAATAAAAGGGAAGACAGAGAGGAGAAAAGGGGGGGGGGGGGGGGGAGAGGGAAAGAAATAGAGAGAAATGGAGGAATAAAAAGGGAAATAAGGGAAGAAGAAGAAGAAGAAGAAGTGTACTAGTACACTACTTACTTGGGCATGTAAGAAAATAGAGGGAGAAAAAGAAGGTGGATGGATTCCACTGGATGGACAGAGTCGATTTGCGTACGATGCAGATTCCAGTGGCATCCACGTTCAGTGGATGGATCATGGATGGGGTGTGGCGCCTGGCGTGTAAAATGAACGAACGACGACAACAGCGCTGCTTTATCCTTTTTGCCAGATGGAAGGGGAAAAAAAAGATGAAAAGACGAAATGATCATGAGTGGGCAAGCGGATCGCTTGCAGTGGCTTCCCGCCGCTCAACAGCTAGCTAACCATTAGCTACATGTGTACATACATGTATGTACCTACATGGGACTCAGCTTCTCTAGATCACCTGCCTTTGAATATGAACAGCCTACGAATACCTTGCTGACGAATTCAGTCACACTACAATACCCATAAACATACTGTTGTTCTAATTGGTACTGCATGTGCCTACACACATGTACTACATGTACGTAAGGTACATACAGGTACTCTACAATGTATGTACCGGGTTTTGAGGGTAAGTGATCAGAATCTGATAAGTGAATGTTGCGGTGAATACATGTATTTGTCTTATCAGATTCTGATCACTTTTCGCTACACCATAGTACATACATGTAGGTACATGTACTTATCTGACTCTCTGCCTTATTGTAAATCAGACACACCTTTTCGTGCTAGGTGTTTATTCTCTGACCTCGTACCTAGTCTAGTATTTTGTGGTTGCTGTGCCAAGACTTTCTGCGAAAGTTGGTGCAACCAAATACCATTCTCCACAACTCGAGAATCGGGCCCAGCACAATTCCACCGCAGATCCCGTGCAGTTTTCCCGTCACAGCCTCGAACTCTGTGCACGGTCCACAAGAGCCTCAGCCTCAAAAAGGGTACAGTCGCACCTCGTTATGTCGTTAGCGTATTCTGGAAGCCAAACCCCTACGAGATAGCAAATATACGAGATAGCAAATATACGAGACAGCAAATAGTTTTTGGTGGAGAAGGGCAGTACCTATCCCGCTAATTCGTACGAGACAGCAAGAGATCCGAGATATCGAATTACGAGATAGCGAGGTGCGACTGTAGAGTACTGTTACTACTGCACCGTTTTCAAACCACTAAACGAACCCCGCCTCACCTGTTATAACTTAACGACAACCCCGCTTCTTCACATCCGTAACCAACTAGGCACCTTTAACAAAAACGGCACTCGTCTCCATTATTTATTTGAAGAATGTCGGCGACTATACTTGGCAACCCTACACATTCCGGGAATCAGAACAATCATTTAGTCGGCGGAGAAATTCCTCATGAAGTTCTGCGTTCTCTGTATCTCAAAGATGTGATCGCCAATGGTCAAACAGAAGGTTCGTTTATCACCTTCACGAGGGCCCAGGAAGACTTCCCATCTGTCAAAAAATTGAACCCGTTGAATAAGAAGCGTATCTTGGTAACCGGTGTAAGTACATGTAATAATACAGTTCTCATGTATCTTTTGTTTCCAGCTGGCACAACTCCCTTACCTCGTTTTTATAGCCTCCCCCCCCCCCCCCCATAAACCAATTCCAGTGCTTTGTAAGAAAAACGTTTCATGCAGAGCTTATATTTATTTTCGAGAACTTCTGTAGGGCGCCGGCTTTGTTGGATCTCATTTGGTGGATCGCCTGATGCTCATGGGGCACGATGTTATTTGCGTCGACAATTACTTCACCGGTTCGAAGGTGAATATCGCACATTGGATTGGCCACCCAAATTTTGAAATGATACGGTATGCAAGGAGAAAAAACTACTCTCTTCTCATTCAAAGCCATATAATTGCCCTCTGTCCGTTACCAAATCAAGAGAATAATCCGTTTCTTATCACTTAGGACCTTTAAATTCGATATAGCCATGATGTTGTGGATCCACTTCTCGTTGAGGTTGATCAGATTTATCATTTGGCCTGCCCCGCGAGTCCGGTACATTATCAGTCAAATTCTGTCAAGACATTGAAGACGAGCTTTTTTGGGACGTATGTTGCCTGGCAATCTATTTTTTATCCAATTGAATGAAGCCAGTCAGCCAGCAAAGGGGGGGAAGAGGTATTGATTTTTATCTTCATTCCTGGGCTTACACTTCATTTTTTGGGGGTCTAGATACAACATGCTTGGACTTGCAAAACGTGTGAAGGCACGTTTCCTTCTCGCCAGTACTTCAGAAATTTATGGTTCGCCTAAAGAGCACCCACAAAATGAAGAGTACTGGGGCCATGTCAACTGTTTTGGTCCGCGCGCCTGCTACGATGAAGGGAAACGCGTGGCAGAGGCTCTTACATACAGCTATGCACGACAGGATGGCGTGGATGTGCGGATTGCCCGCATCTTCAACACCTTCGGTATGTTTCGATTTGTTTTATTTTTCTTTCAATCAAACCCCAGTAGTATGTTTTCGGGACAAGAAGGAAAGAAATCAAAGATGAATTTTGTCCATACATGGATTCCATTGGCCCGGGGCACTGCTACAAAAAGCAGAAACATATGGGTTAGGTAGTGTAGAACTTGCATACCTAGACTCTTCTTGTTCCGAGTGCATGGATTATGTGTAGATATTCCTAGTAATGGTTATCGCTAGTTTCTTTGCCTTTACTAACTATTGTAGGTCCCCGTATGAATTTCAACGATGGGAGGGTGGTATCTAACTTTATCCTGCAAGCTTTGCGGAGTGAGGATATCACGATCTATGGGGACGGATCCGCTACAAGATCCTTCCAGTATATGCATGATTTGATAGACGGCCTTATTCAATTGATGGAAAGCGATTGTACAGAACCGGTCAACCTGGGCAATCCACACGAATTTACAATCAAAGAATTTGCGAATATGGTCATTGGTCTTGTCAACGAACAGAGAGACCAACCATCTACATCAAACGTGGTATACCTACCTGCAGTGATTGATGACCCACCGAGGCGGAAACCAGACATATCAAGAGCCAAGGAACGATTGAACTGGGAACCGCGAATCTCGGTGCATGAGGGGTTATCAGAAACAGGTGGAATACCTTCAACTTTTACCCTTAAAATCAAATTCAAAGACTAATAGAGTAAAAACAGTATCCTATTTTAAACGAGCAATGGAGCTCGAGATAGCTCCAGTGTTATGAGGTATGAATCTAAATTTATTTGATCTTTGGAAGTCTTTCTAGCGTTTCTCAAGACTCGCTTTTAGGAAGAGAAAAGATTTGTAACTCCATTTACGCCTTTCAATGAAGGAGGCTATTTAGTAACTAAAATGGAAAGAGGCACGCATTGATGATCCGCTGAGAGCCTTTATGTTTAAGTTTGACCACAGTGCTTTGCTATGCCACAACCAAGGCACACGACGGTACCATCCCAGCTTCTTTAAGAGTTTGACCAAAGTCGATCCCTTGCTGGTAAATTTTACGAGGAAATGTTGTTGTAATTGAGGATACTTCAATACCTAGATGACATTAGAAGCTTTCTATAAACCTTCTTTTAGCAAATGGGCATGTGAATGTGTTTTACCTCTTTCTTCCCTTATAGCCTCCGCGACCTCAAATAAGGTAGTATCTACTGGGAAAGTTTTTATCAATGGCGGCCCAGAAGGTAAACGAAGCTGAAGGCGTGTCTCTGTGTGAGACGCGACGCTTTTGGGCGCCGCTGGCTTAGTAGGCTCAGGTCGCTGCTCCTCTACAACCTTCCCCTCCCGTGCTGCCCTTTCTCGCTCTGCTTGTTGTCTTCGTAATTCTTGAGTTTCTTTGATTTGTTGCCTAACCCTCTCCTTTGCCGCGGCATCCTCAATCTTCTCCCGCTTGCGTTTCTCAACCTCTTTCAACTGCTCCTTCCTCCTGAGCTCTTCCTTGATTTTATCGGAATCTTGCCCTTTTTTACGGCGAATGAGCTGTAAATGAATTAGTATTATAAGATATGAATAATTACTGGTGTTCATGCCTCATTTTTTTTCTGTTCCTCGCGATCTTTAATAGCCTGCGAAGCCTTTTTTTCTGCTAGCCTTCCGGGGGGGGGGGGGTCAGCTACCGTGAATTTGGAATCCCGGTAAAGTTAAGAAATCACTAACCTTTCGCGAAGTTCTTGTAGCTTTGCTGCTTTTTCCTCCTCAGTTAAAGGTTTGATAATCTCGGTGGACTCCTCGAAGTTCTGGTGCTCGCTTGCTTGAGATCAGTAAGACTGCACCTAAGATGATGAGATTCATGGGCTCTGCAGATCCAAAAGCTTACGTTCTAGTGGCGTGGTACTGTGCACGTTCTGCACTTGAGAAGAGCTTTCCGCAGTCCGAGCATTTCATACTGGCCGCAGTGCCGGGGATCTCGGATTTTTCGTCGCCATCATAATCATTCCCATCGTCCGGAGCGGATGAGGACGAGCCAGCTTGTTCGGTTGCAGCTCTAAGTGTCTCCAGTGGTATATCTTGGTTCTGATCAAGCCAAGTCAGAGCATCTTGAACTATTGTACTTTAGTATGGCTCGGGATAGTCTGGAATGAGCCGTGCGACTTACGACCCTTGGTCTTTTTGATAGCCAAAGTGACACGTTCGGCATCGAATCCCATTTCTAGGAGCAAATCATAATCTCCTTGAACCATGGCTAAGATTGATGCAAGGGACAGAATAAGAAATAAAATAGATGTCGGTTGGTTCCGAAGGGTAAGATATTTGATTAACACCGAGAGACAGCGGCGGGGTAGGAGCTGGTAGGAGCTGTAACACTAAAGGCACGAGGTGGCAGTCGACGTCACCCAAAAGAATGGCGCTGGGTGTGGCTTTGTCCAATGAAGTTGTGGCGTAGCCATACATGGGTGTCTCGTGGCAGTGCAAATGGGCGGACGCCAGTTTTCAGACACGCAGCAAGTTTAAGTTGAACGGCCAGCAGAGACAAGCAAGCGCAGAGGCAGAGAACAAAAGACCGAATAGCCATCCATCGCGACACTTGCTCGTGCTGACCTCACACACACTAGTAACTTGACACTGTTCTCTCCCTCACCCAGAAGCTTCTCGCCCCCCTTAAGCACGAACTCCCACTTTCTACATACAGCCTCCAACCCCCATAACAAGCACTCGTTAGATAACCCACAGTATCCACAACTACACTCGTCCACAACACCAACACCACCACCACAATACCTCCCTACAAATCTTCTACGGCTACTGCTGCCTATAACCTTTAGATCTCCAGAACAACCTAGTTTCAACCGAACCCCTCGTGCCCTCAGAACCGACCTCGTTCTCTCCACTTATTACTTTTAATCATCGAAGAGTCGCCAAATATGAGCATCGAACTTGATCCTGCCGAGTTAGGATTTGAACGTATGGCACCTCCCATCCATTTGATGTCTTCGCGGGTAAAAGCGACGGCAAAGGAAAAAGGGGGGGGGGGGGGGGGAGAAGCACCCGACAGCTGCTGATAACTTTCGCTTTGGAACTAGGTCCTTTCAATCACGAGGTAACTCGAACACTTCGCATCAAAAACAACAACTATGATCCTGTTGCCTTCAAGGTTTGTTGATATTCGGACTATACTTTTGTAAGGTTGTTATTAACTTGAGTGTCAATCAGGTGAAAACAACCGCCCCTAAGCAGTGAGTGCACACAAGTCAAAGATCTCCGACATGGGGTTTTGAGTAAAAGTTGCTGAGTAATTGGTCAGGTACTGTGTGAGGCCAAACTCCGGCCGTATAGAAGCTGGAAAGGATGTCGAGGTTCAAGGTATTAAGATTAAGCTCCAACCTACGACAGTAAAATCTAAGTAACTAACAACAAGCCTAGTCCTCCTCCAGGCGATGAAGGAGGATCCGCCACAAGGTTACAAATGCCGTGATAAGTTCCTTGTCCAGTCCGTTGCCATCACTGCAGACAAGGAGTACAACAGTGTCCAGCAGATTGTGAGATCCCCATGGTCTATAGCCACGGTCGACTCTTTGTTCCTAACTTGATAATCAGTGGGCGCTTGTGGAAAAGAACGAAAAATCCGCCATTCAAGAGAAGAAGATCCGTGTCACGTTTCTTGATCCCGATGAAAAGGCAAATGCGCCTAATGGGGAAATAGTCCAAGACATCTTAGTAAGTTAAGCTATGCGGCTTTGGCCCTACATCGCCCTCCAATCCTCGGAAAGTATCAGTTGGCTCATAAAACTGGCAGTTCAATGATACCCAGTCCCGCTCATCTCCCCCTCCATATACCTCCCCCACGCCATCGGATGAACCAGCGACCTCCGGTACCCTACCTGCGCCGGCTATTAAATCCGAACCCAAATCGGATGGGCACTCATCCACTGGGGACGCTATTCGAGGTGTCGCCAATACCCAGTATGGCTCTCCTAGTTCGGGGAGTAGTAGCCATGACTTGGCATCTCAACTGGCTGAAGCGAAGGCCACTATTACTAGATTACAAGAGCAGGTCAAACAGCACCAACAGGGCCTTCGAGAGCGTAAGACCACAGTTGTTGCTTCAGACTCTAAGTCGCATACCACTGAAAGTGCCACTGGTATGGGTTTGACCACTCACCCACCGGAAGGTGTATCCGTCCAAATCTGTGCTGCCCTGTGTTTAGTAACCTTTTTGCTGGCGTATCTATTCTTTTGATCGCGATGTTATCTTTGGTTAGTCCAAAAACCACATTCTCTTAAAAGATTTCATTTGTTTACCTCCCAATGAGGTGTAACGTGCGGGATATTTGGTTTTGTTCTGATGGTGAATTTTCAATTGTTTTCGCCTGTATTCCTTTTTTCTTTCTTTCCCATATCGTTGTACTCTACAAGATCGACAAGAGGCCTCCCACCCTATATATGCATCTTCGCCTCGTCTGTGGTACTAAGCTTTCTATCAGTCAATATCACCCTGAAGGGAATCTTTCAGTCTGCTTAGCTTTGGTTTTCATTTTCTTATGCACTTTTCGCCACATATTATTATTCAAGCGCTGAACACTCTGGTACCTTTTCTTTCAAAATGGGATATTCAATATGATGGTAAACTTTTTTCCTTGGGGTTGGTATTGTTTAATTTTGCCGCAAAGGGAAGGGAGGAAAGAAGGCGGGATAAATAAATTGGAAAATATCACCATACATATTTAAGCTACGGGATGAGCCGTATCAGTGCCCCTCCAACTGCCCCACTTCTCAGTTGGGATAAAGCCGCCGCCCCGAGCTCCTGACCACAATTCAATAAACCCGTCAAAACCCTTCTCAAACTCCCCTCCAGATCACAAACATTTCCGTTTCGCAAAATGCGGGCACCAGCGACTGAGCGTCCCCTCACATCCGGCCCCGAAGGGGGCCCGTCATCACCTTTTCCGCTCCGCCTTTCGGGGCCCGTCATCAAGGGTTTTGGGCGGGGCTCTAAAGAATTGCAAATACCTACTGCCAATATTCCCATCGAAGGTCTCAAAGTCGGTGGATGCGAAACAATCGAAAGCGGCGTTTACTACGGTTTTGCAGGACTTGACCTGCACAACGCTGACACCGGGTCGAAGGGAGTTGTCTTCCCAATGGTAATGTCGATCGGTTGGAATCCATTCTATAAAAATACCGTTCGATCAGTCGAAGTACATATTGTACACTCCTTCCCTGAGGACTTTTACGGCGTGCGCATGAATCTGGTCATTTTGGGGTTTATCAGGCCAGAATATGATTATGTGAGCAAGGAGGCTTTGATTGAAGACATTAAGATGGATATCAAAGTCGGCACCAACAGCCTCGAGCGCGATGCTTATAAAGTATTTCAAGAAGACAAGTACTTAAGACATTTCAGTATTGAAGAGTAAGATGATGGTAGTTACAGGGAGAGCGAGGGGAGGGGTCTAGCTCTTGTATTGGTATATGGCCATCTCATACACTGGTCATTTCTTTGTTCAACAAGCATGCCTGAGCCTACAATCCATGCTATTATAGATGATAGTGTACCTGAAAATGGCATCATTCTTTAAACAAATCCACATAAATCCCACTACAAACTCTATTAAACACAAAAAGTGTGTTACAAATTACACATATATATGACCCTTAAGCCTTCTTTTTATCACCCGTAGTATCGGCCTCACCTTCTAGCTCTTCTTTCGTCCAATCTGCCTCAACCATTTTCCCGCTTTTCAATTGTTGTTCTCTCTTGACTCTTGACCAGAGGGAAACGTCGCTGTCCCAAATAAATTGCCAAATCACCCATGACCAACTGGTGTGGGTAGGAAGGGGCTCGTAGAATTCGCTGGCGATTTCACGTAGCTTTGGGAGCCGAGTCCATGGAATGGCAGGGAAATCGTGGTGCTCGTTGTGTAAACCAACATTGTAAGTGAAAAAGTTCAAACAGCCATAATAGGAGTAAGTTTCAACTGGCACTGCCTCCCCAGAAACAGCATTTTTGGGAGATGGGTTGACAGGTTTCTCGAAGACATACTAAACAGATTTGTAATGTAAGTTTGATTCAAAATCTTACCCTTTCCAAGAGAATCGGGTGTTTCAGGCAGCAAATAAGAAAAACCCACATGTTCAGCAATAAAATGACCTGCGCAGGGGTGCAGGCTCCCTGCCAGGAAACTGCTCATTATCAGGTAGGCAAAGGAATTCCAGCCACAGGACCAAACCAGGATGGCATCAAACCCGAGCTGCACAACAAGGTTAAGAAAATGCAATCCCGTGAATGGCAATGTTAGAACCATCATTGGTCTAAGGGCGTAAAATAAGATCTGAAAGGTGCAAAAAAAGGCCTTTCCTAAAACCGAGTCAAGGAAGATGGCTTCAAATTTGGTGGGGAGGTCAGTATCGAGGCCGTCGACACCGAGAGCTTTGTGATGAGTCAAATGGTATGGCCGGAAAGCAGCGCTGTAAGGGAGACCAATTGGCAAGTTTGCAAAGATGGCGAATAAACGATTTGCATATGCGCTCCTGAAAGCAAGATTATGGGAAATTTCATGAATCGCTAGAAAGGTATTTTGATTTGCTGTCGCCCCCACGATGTATGCGGTGAGGAAGAAAGGCCAGGAGAAGATAGGGGTTGATCGTAGAAGGTATGCACATCCAATTTGCAAAGATGTGACTCCAAGTACCACATACTTAGTGAGAGGTTCAGGTCCGCATAGCTTAGTAACCTAGGAGGAGTTGAATTAGGTGTTAGTGAACGATCTCAATGTTCTTTCGTTTAGTACTTCACTGCCCAGTAACATACCTCGGGGTGGGCCTTGATAATCTGGTGTCTACGAGTTCTATGAGGTTCCTCTTGATATGTCTGTATGTTTGGTTAGATTTTCTTCGCTTGTGTGGTTTTTGTGTTGGACGAAATACCCAAATCCAGTCGTTTAAGGAATCCTTCGAAGCATCGTTTGGGCCAATGGTGGTGGTTTCGACGACTAAAGCCATGATGGGAATGAGTAAATAGTCCTTGAAGGTAAGGAGTAGAGAGTGAGAAGACCCTCTAAATACTGAGGCGAAAGAGAGACAGGGGAAAGGAGAGAGGAAGCTGCAAAGCACAATCGTAGCTATTACCAGGTAATAAAGGGAGTGTGGTGATTCCTCAACTGATTTCTCGTTCCAGTCTGTGTCTAAGTATACTAACCACATGTGTACACCATTTTGGTTGTTCTGTTCCACAAGCAGCATGTCCCAAGCGACCCCTGACAGAGAATTGCTTATCGCCAAGATTTGGGGCTCGAGGTACCATAGTTGCGCAATGCACAAGCAGATATGGGAACCGGCAACTGGTCCTCCCCACCATATGGGCGAGGCTCCTCCGTCACTGTCAATCATATCTCTACCATCACCGCCCATCAAGTATTTTCGTTATTTCATCAACACCATCTTTACCTGAGTAATATTCGACTCTAACAGCTACTGTTACCATTTCGACCCCCCCCCCCCCCCCCGAACTCGAACGCACCTAAGCACCTTGATCTCATTAAACGTCCTCATCTAAACCCTAAAATGGCTTCCGACCCAGAAAGAGAGAAAGCACTTAGTGACTTCAAAATAAAGGTTTTTTTAGGGAGAACATTTCTTTTTAAGGATTCGACTGACTGGCTTATCCTGTGTAAAGCTATTGGAGCATAGGGAGTGGGATGCGAAACTTAAGAACCTACGAATAGAGCTCAAGGATCTAGGGAAAGAATTCGATCACACAGAAGATAACATCAAGGCTTTACAAAGTGTGGGACAGATAATCGGAGAGGTTCTAAAACAACTTGACGATGAGAGATGTGCGTTAGACCCCTCCAACTAGCAATATAATGGAACTCTAAGCCTCTGATCATTCTAAAGCTAACACTCAATTAAATAGTTATCGTAAAGGGTGATATTCCATTATATTCATCGACAGAGAATGAAGAAGCTGATAACAATAAATTGAACAGCCTCTTCCGGTCCTCGCTATGTTGTTGGTTGCCGCTCAAAAGTAGACAAGACAAAACTTAAGCAAGGAGTCCGGGTAGCTCTTGATATGACCACTTTGACCATTATGCGAATGCTACCTCGGGAGGTTGATCCCTTGGTTTATAACATGTCTCTCGAGGACCCAGGGCAGGTGTCGTTTGGTGGTATCGGAGGTCTTAACGAACAAATCCGAGAGTTGAGAGAGGTCATTGAGCTACCCTTAAAAAATCCTGAATTGTTTTTAAGAGTTGGTATCAAACCCCCAAAGGGTGTTTTGCTATACGGCCCCCAGGTACCGGGAAGACACTATTGGCGAGGGCTGTGGCGAGTAGCTTAGAGACCAATTTCTTGAAAGGTACGAGTAATATCAATGAGCATTATCTCATAACAGCCCATACTAATCTCATTAATCTAGTTGTCTCATCCGCGATCGTAGACAAGTACATCGGAGAGTCCGCTCGACTTATTCGTGAGATGTTTGGGTATGCCAAGGAGCATGAACCATGTATCATTTTCATGGACGAAATCGATGCTATCGGCGGCCGTAGGTTCAGTGAGGGTACATCAGCGGATCGTGAAATTCAAAGGACACTCATGGAGCTACTCAATCAACTCGACGGCTTCGACTACCTGGGGAAAACAAAAATTATTATGGCAACCAACAGACCTGATACACTCGATCCGGCGCTGCTTAGAGCTGGTCGATTGGACCGTAAAATCGAAATCCCTCTGCCGAATGAGGTTGGGAGGATGGAGATTCTAAAGATTCATGCGGCGGGTGTGCAGAAGGATGGGGAAATCGATTACGAGAGTATCGTCAAGATGAGCGACCAGCTCAACGGGGCTGATTTGAGAAATGTCATTACCGAAGCCGGTTTCTTTGCTATTCGTGACGATCGTGATGCCATTAACCAGGATGATATGTCGAAAGCTGTTCGAAAAGTGGCAGAAGCGAAGAAGTTAGAGGGAAAACTAGGTTAGTACTCCACCTCGTAATCTATTGTTTGGATCTCTAGGCTTACTAACTTTCTATGCAGAGTATCAGAAGCTATAGTGGAATGGAATGGTTCAAGGTGCAATGGATCGGCGTTTTATCATTTCTGTGTGCTTCTGTTTTCTTGTACACTCGAGATAAAGTTTACAGACACAAGAAACCAATCACTTTTGAAATTTATCCTACTACCGCCAAAACTCGCAAAACTGGCTATCTCTGACCCAGTGAGCACCATTCGAGTGATTGGTTGAACTGCATCGATCTGCATCAATCTGCATCAGAAGTTTCCGTAGATCTAGCCAATTTTTTCGAGTTTTGGCGGTAATGTATCTTCAAAGCTTCAAACAGCCCTATGTAAGACATCATAATTTATATATACTCTAGTGAATGCTTCCAGATTGTGTGAATGATCTTGTTGAACCTATCCTGCTTTCCATGTAGGTTCTGGGTATTGCCGAAAGGTTGCTAGGGATCTACGTGCCAAGATTTCCGAAGCTTAAATTATCCGTTCTTGATGTATGAGGCTCTGCTCTTCGACGCCTGGCTTCATCCTACAAATTCCGGCACCCCAAAGAAGGGCTTCTTGAACATTAAGCATGGTATATCCTCTTTCAATCTCTCTACAGTCCTTTAACAACCAATCCTAATGCTTGCTCACAGTCTCGCCACGAACTCCTCTCCCCGAAGGACTCCGCATAGATGGCCGACGCTGGAATGAGCTCCGACGTTTCGAAGCACGTCTGTCAACCACCACAGCCGCCGATGGATCATCCTACGTCGAGTGGGGTAATACAAAAATTATTTGTAATGTAGGCGGACCAAATGAGCCTAAGACTGGGGCGAACAGGAATCAGGATAGGGCTACAGTCACGGTGGAGGTCTGTTTTGCTGCGTTCAGTGGGAATGAGAGAAAGAAAGGAGCCAAAGGTGACCGGTGAGACCTTTTTTTTTATCATAGTTCTTTTCAATGCACCGCCCTATCCAAGTACAAGCCTCATGGCTGATCTGAAAACTATTATGTGTAGACGAGTACAAGAGATGCAGACCGCTTTGCAGAGAACGTTTGCAGAAGCGATTCTAACAAACCTTCATCCACGATCTGAGATCTTAATCACTCTCCACATACTATCACAGGATGGCTCTGTCCTCGCTACATGCATCAATGCTTGCACACTTGCCCTGATCGATGCTGGCATTCCATTGAGTGACTATGTAGTGGCGTGCACAGCGGGCTCCCATTCAGTTCGCAGTGGCACCAACTTTGAAGTAGAAGGGGAAGATCCACTATTGGATATGAATAATATCGAGGAAAGCGATCTTCCAGGAGTTACGATAGCGACAATCGGAAATTCGGAGAAAATCACCTTGTTGCAACTCGAGACGAAGGTTAGGCTGGAAAGACTGGAGGGTATGATGGCTGTTGCGCTAGATGGATGCAGGAAACTGAAGGAGGTCATGGATGATATTGTCAGAACCCATGGTAATGAGATGGCAAGGAGAGGGGCGCTATAGGCCAATTATACTACTAAAGAAGTCCGCATGGAAACTACCGACAAAACGCCTCTCCCTCCAACAAATAATAATATTAGCTGGGCTACTATCAATCAAAATAATTAGGCTTGACTTTGAGTTGGGTAACGATGTTAAACAGCAGTTAGACCATCTGGTGGTATTATTGCTGGGGCAACATAAAATTTGCTCGTACCATGTCAATCTTGCGGATCTAGTTACAAGATAAAAAAAAAATACGTAACGGCTAGGGGTGATATTGCAGTCTCTTCCGAACAAGGTCTGTTGGAGATAATTGCTCATGGTGGAGACACTAACTACATGTATCATGATATCATTTAACGTGTTTCACCGGGAAAGCAATCAAGCATGACATGAACGGGATCGCAAATTGCTGTGAAGGTTCAAAGTCACCCAGAATTATAGAACTAAATACACCAAAGTCATTTTGAGAAATCTTTCGAATATTTCTGATGATCGTTACTAATAGGTAGCGAGTATATAGCTGTGGGAGGGTGATCTGGCCTTGATGGCCCTCCCACAGCTATACTCGCTATGATCATAAGAAATAGTCAAAAACACGGAAAGAACTCTCCTATACATGTATGACTTCATAGGTATTGCTTTGGTGCTCATAATGCCCTTCTGTGAGGTGAGGTTGCTTTCCCGGTGATGATCGCTTTCCCGGTGAAACACGTTATCGGTCAAACTGCTTGAGCGTTCAATGGTCAGGATGTTTAATTACAACAACCTCCTACTGTTTAATGAACGTACGAGTACTGTTTTATAGGATTTATCTAAAACTACAGAACAAGTGAGGCGCTACACACCAATGATCCCATGCCCGGTCCGGTGAGACAAAAAAAAAGGTAAGAAATATTTCCAGGTCAATCATAAGTTTGTAGAAGCCGCTCATCTGTGTGGGCCCATGACTTCTTTCTGAGAGTCAGCGGCACCCGTTGAAAGGTATCCATTCGTTTCTCCAATATGATATTGGGTGGAGAGGGCAACTAACATGTGCGTTTTATAGAACATCATACCTAGAGTATCTAGGGTTTCAAAAGTGCCATTTGAAGTCATGGAATGTCACTCGCCTAGTGTGAGATTCCGAAGGTATTTGTTTAATTCATTAATTTCATTACGGAAGTTATTAAAACATATCCTATTTCATCAAGAGCGCCTGATTGGTAACCGGCTCATTAGGTTCGACGAGTACAACCCTTTTTTACCGCCTAAAGGATATATAGTGGAGATTTACCCAAAGTGATATCATTTTCCTTAACTTACTAATTTCATTCATCAAAAATAAAAAGTAGGGATTTCTAAAACATAAAGAATTGCATATGCCTTCTATTGATAACATATGGTGTATAAAGCTTCACCATCTAAATAAAAACTCTCAGGTTCAACTACATACTCCTATTAACTATGTGTCGAATGGGAAATGAATTTATTTTGTGAACTATTTCTCGTCATATTTGGCAACATGAATGTCAATGGCCCTATTTTAACAGCAGAATTAGTACCACGCGTACAAACGCAAGTAACCTTAATTTCAAAAAATGCTAACCTTCCGCTGGGATCTGTCTGGTTGGACCAGGTAGGCTTCCATCTCATGACAGTGGGCGCACACTGTGCTGGGAATTGCTCATCGAACATACACCTGTACCAGTACCCCTCCTTGCTATCAGGAGCATCGGCACCCCACTCGGGTTTGGGGTTCTTCAGCTGCTCATCGGTGACCATTTTCTCCGCAGTATCCTTGAAAATGTTTCAGTGGAAGTAACTTGTTAAACGTTCGAGGAGGGTAAAATCCTTACCTTCAAGACGTCAATCCAACCATATCCAACACCGTCGCTGAACTGTTCTTTCTGACGCCATAGAATATCGTCGGGAAGGTAAGGCTTCTGATCTGGCTTATCTGAGGTATCAAATGCCTTTCTGAGAATGTATTTCTCGAGGCGCTCTCCTTTAAGGATAAGCTTGTCTTGGGGGTCGATGTTCATTGTAACTTCTAAGAACTACACAGATTGATATTAATCGTTACTCCAGCTAATCTGGGAACAAAATCTCACCTCTTTGTCCAAGAAAGGGACGCGGGCCTCAACGCCCCATGCAGAGGTCGATTTATTGGCCCTCAAACAGTCCGAAAGGTGCAGGTTGTTGACCCTCGTAATGGTTTCTTTGTGAAACTCTTCCTTGTTCGGTGCGTTGACGAAGTAAAGGTAACCACCAAATATCTCATCACTTCCCTCTCCACTTAGAACCATTTTAACACCCTGAGCCTTGATTTTCCTACTAAGAAGATACATAGGTGTTGATGCACGGATCGTAGTAACATCGAACGTCTCAAGGTGATAAATAACGTCACGGAGAGCATCAAGACCTTCCTGTAAAGTAAAGTTGAACTCATGGTGGACCGTTCCGAGATATGCAGCTACCTTTTTAGCAGCAACCGTATCTGGTGATCCAGGAAGTCCAATAGAAAAGGAATGTAGCTCTGGCAAGGCGGTAATAGTATCAAGGTCATCGCCTTCACTGATTCCAACCAGTTCATGTGGTATCACGGTACCGTTAGTAACTCCAGACGTGAGTTTCAGTTTCTCGGTTTCCCGAGCAGCAATTGAGGCAATCAAACTGGAGTCAAGGCCTCCAGATAAGAGAACCCCATAAGGAACTTCCGCCATAAGCCGCTTACGCACCGCCTTTTCCAAAGTAGTTCGAACTTTCTCGAAATCGACCGGATTCGACGGAATTTTTGTGGAGTCTAGCCATGAAGGCTGAAAGTATCTAGTAGTCTTTCCAGTGGCTGAATCATAAATATGGCCTGGGGGAAAAGAAATGATCTTGTCGCAGACAGGGTGGAGACACTTCAATTCGGAAGCGAAGTATACAGCGCCAGGAGTTTTTGAAGACCAGCCCTGATAGAAACTAGTAATGCCAATGGGGTCGCGCGCGGCAATGGTCCGGTCCTTGACCTTATCGTATAACACGAAAGAGAACATTCCGTCAAGCATCTTGGGAGTATCAATATCATATTTAGGGTACTTCAAAGCTAGTTAGTAGATAGCTAGTTTTCCCTTGGAGCTGATGGTCTTACTAGGTGCAAAATGACTTCACAGTCGGAATGAGTCTTGAATTTTGTGTCGGCATCGAGCTGCTTGCGCAATATTCTGTGGTTGTAAATTTCGCCATTAACCGCCAAAAAAATAGTTTCCTCCTCGTTGACAAGGGGCTGCGCTCCACTATCTGTTGTGACTGTTAAAAAAAACCCCCCATGATGGAAATTTTTCTGGGAAAAGAAGAAATACCAATTCCAACAATACTCAAACGCTCATGCGTCAAAACTAGTTTTGGGATATTAGTTCTTGAAAACTCGGTGAAGAAACGTAATCAGCATTTACTTGTGTCATTGGAAATGACATTTCCACCTGGCAGATAAGAATTAGAATTTTACGATAAGGAATCCTGGGGAAAGAAGTATCTCACTCCAATCCGGACCACGATGACGCACGCTGCAAAAGCCTATAAGTATTGAAACCCTTCAGAAGCATCAAATAGAGAAAATACATACGCCTTGGCTAATTGTAAAGCCTGAGGTTTGAATTGGTGCACATTGGGGTGTTTATGACAAGCGAATATACCTTTGGCCCAACAATTCTGTCAGGCACATACGATTCATAGTGGGGCAGATGAGGGGTGATTTCTTACCACACATTGTGGAAGAGCAAGGCTTATACTATAGCGAAGCAGAGCGCAAAATGGAAGAGGAGTGTTGTAGAAGATAAATGGAAGAAGAAGAAGAAGAAGAAGGGAATGATTTATAGATTCAGGTGGTAGGGTAAATAGCAGGAGGGCCAGGGTGGAGTGGAGAAAGGGCAAGGTTTTTTTGACTCACAGTCATTGAATAAAAGATATGTACCGGTGTTCCATATTTCTCCTCTTAACACTACCATTGATTGGTATGAGGCTTCAAGCCTATCCTCCAAAATCATTCTTCTACTCGCTAATTTTACAAATTGGACTGAATTAGGGTGTGTATCTGGAACATTGCGCAAAAGGAAATGGCATAAAAAAGGAAAAATACACTTCTGGTAAGTACAATTTTCCACCTCATGACCTTAAGATGTCTTGCTATTTGTTCAGCTATATTTTTCGTCCATCACGAGCGATTGAATGATCGGGGCTTCCTTTGGATATCCTAGCATGTAGATATAGTATTTACATAAGTGAGGAAGTGAGGAAGTGAGGAAGTGAGTATGTACAGTATCTAATGGAAGAAATGACCTCCTCGATCCTACATACATACATGTACATTGTATGTACCATACGCAGTCATGCTTGCATAACGTACATGTACTCATCGCATCACCATCGCTCGAATGCATCTATTTTTTTGCAAACTAAGATCTAACTAAATACATGTACATAGATATAACTATCATTACTACATGTAGTTCCCGAGCTTAGCCGTTAATTTGGACAATACTAGTATTGTATCTCCTAGACTTGAGGATTTCTCGACCGCTCCTGTAGGTATTTACAATTGCTGAATATAATAAAACCAAGCAAAATTATCGACCGCACTCACCACATGTTGCATAGCCGCTCGAGTTTGACTTGGTGGACAGCCATTGGTTCCTACGGGATCTACTGTAGCCTGTGGGTACATTTAGATGCAATTATGTGGGCTCAGATCGATATCCCGGAACTACGACAAGAAGATGGGGTACATAACAAGGGTTCTTCTTTCTGCATGTCAAGCTCTTTACGGTTATTATAGCTAATCTAGTTGTGCCATAAATCCTTGATACTTTACCTCACCAATGATATTTCCCCTCTTCTATGGGGATGTTTCTCCAAACGAATCCGCCAGCGCATGATCCTCCTTGAAGTAAGTATATCAGCCTCGAATTCATGATCACTAATCTCCTTATTAGAGCGATTTGGGCAATCCCTGTTTTTCAAATTTTGAGCTCAAATTTTGAGGTCTTGACGGGATTTTCACACCAAAAACTGTCGCCAAGAACTAAATATTTAGATTCCGAAGTCGTTGGCCAAATCGCTCTATTGTCGAATATCAATAAGATACAAGTAAAATCACGTGATATGGACAAAGAGATTGAACTATTTGAAAACTGTATGTAGATATAAGATTTACGTCCCCATTCCGTTATTAACTTCCATCATTTTAGGGCAGTCAATGAATTTGCCTAGATCATGTGCAGTGTCGCAATAGCCAATATTGAAAGAAAGAAAAGAACTCTCCACAACGGCCAGAAACACTGGCAATGGTGCCTTTGCAGATTTTTACGAGGACCTTTGTATACCTCCAGTGTCGGTCCGTTAAATTCGGGACAAAGGACAAACTACCGTTTCTTTGCGACTGGTCTTGGCTTTGCCTCATCTTCCTTAATTGGATGTAACATGACCTTGGTAGGATACTGCGGAGTATTGGACTGATGTCCCTTACTCCAGTCATAGCTGATAGCGTACGCGAATATGTTACCGTTTCTGTTAAAGCCAGTCGCCGGAATACTCCCATTGACAGACGGGAACCCTTTAAGACGATGTTTGGCATCCTTATCCCTGTACATAATCGTTAGGTGAGATTTGGCGTGTCCGGTAGGATCGACATCTAGAGCAGCAATAGTAAAGAATCATCAAAAATACGTACCAGAAGTGGAAAGTTCCATCTGACCCAGCAGTAGAAAACGTTCCGAAAGTGGGATGAAACGATATGTCATTGACACTGTAGACATTGGCAATTCCTGAAGACGGAGTTTCTCGATGGCATTTGAACGAAAAGTTCATACTAGTTGCAACAAGCAAAAAAATCAACCTATTATTCAATCAGGAACATGATGGCTGTGAAATACTTACTTCGCATTTTTGTCTTCAACGTATTGGATTGCACATCTTCCTTCAATACTTCCAACTGCGAACCCGGTAGCGTCAGGGAAGCAACTTACTACCCTCGTCTGCCATTTGAGGGGGCTTTGAATGGTTTTGAAGATTGTGGTGGGACTGGCTAAATTTATGACATTGATATGTCGATCTGCAGTGCCGGTAACCAGCAAGCCTTGGCAGACATCGAGGGTATATACACGTTCTTGCATTTGCACAGTTGCAGCAGGTTGTTGCTGGCGGAGATCCCAATATTTAAGGGTTTTGTCCCAAGATCCGGTGACGAGCATCTCACCCGCGTTCGGGGCCTGAAACATTCGAACACAGCGAACAGGCTCGTCATGGGCAGCAACTTGTTGAGATGAGCCGGTCGTAAGGTCGTACATGCGAGCAGCCTTGTCAGCACCGCCGGAGACTACTTTTGTCCCATCCTGAAGAAAGGTGTTAGTATTGATGATGCCGAGGCGCGCCGGAGTTCAAACCAGGCAGGTTAGCCAACCTTCGACCAGTGAACTGACAAAACGGGGCCTTGATGTTCGTATAGAGCCTTCCCCATCGATTGACCTGTTTCTGATATCTCATATATGCGAACCTTATTATCCCAAGAAGCCACCGCAAGATGCTCGGACTGGGGGGAGAACGAGAGATCTGAGATGCTGTCTTCTGGAGGTGAAGTGAGCTCTACATCTTTGCTCAGATCGCCCTGGGTATTGTTGGCGATAGTGGCAGGAGTCGTGGTCGTGGCAGCTCCAAAAAGCGACATTTTATGACAACCCGAGAGAATGAGGAGGATTTGACTACGGCGGGGACTGACGATGATATTTATCAGAGAAAACGGAAGGGGTTCATAAAGATCGTAGAGGGCATACAGGGTAAATAAAACTATCAAAGTTGCAACAAGAAGGAAGTTGGAGGTAGCGTTGAGTTACACGGGCGTGATGGAGACCTTTACCGCGCGTGGATAACTTAAAGCGTCACTCCTAGCGCGATTAGATAATAATGATGAAGGTAACGGTTTTAGTAAAAGCTTTTAGGGTGCAGGGTGTGAAGAAACCTCGCTTACCACATAGACGACTCCAGAATCGAGTTGTTGAGTAAGGGATCGGTATAACTCGGTGTTGTTTACTGTATTTAGGCTGCGCTTGTACTCGGGGCAGGCAAAAAGTACCGGAAAATGCAAGTTTTGTCTCTGGGCTTCTTTTTGCAGTGGTTCACGCCTAGCACGCGCGCCCATTGGTGAACCAAAAACCTGCATTGTCCGGTACTTTTTACCTGCCCCGAGTAGATTGCACCGGGGCGCTAGACTCGTCAGAGTTATGTTGTAAGAGTAAGTGTCCGGATTAGGAATCGGGTTCCCGGATGGTTTCTTGGGTTGAGTAATATGGATTAGTCAGCGGAATTTCCTTTGGATTTATAAGGAGGGCTAACTCTCCACTCTTATAACTTATTTCTTTTTTCTTTTCTGAATATTTCATCAGCAAGCTCAACAAATTCTATAAAGTGTCTCCTGTGTCTCCAGAGACTTAAAATCTGTTTTGAGGTCTCAGGAGAATCTCAGGAGACCCAGGAGACTGTTGGGAGACTCATGAATATGTACAATCTTGCTGATGTTCTTTCAATTTGTTTTTATGATATAATTTCATTGTATTTTGGTTTGTTGTTTCTCATATTATTTCTATTTGCATTTTGGTTTACTACAGTCAATACACTAAATTAAAATTTTTGTTGTTTGTTCTCGATTGTATTCCAAGTCGATTCCGACTCATATAAATACAAGTGATATTGTTTTAGAAAATTGTATTTTTGCCAATGTTGAAATTGTACGAAACTTTGGAAAACGCTAATTGATAATCTATCAAGTACTTGATTTTGTATACACCAGTGTTTGAATTATACATCAGCAAAAAATGAAGTATTCTTTTGAGATGTCTATGTGCACCAGACACCCCATCTGTATCAGAGTATGCAAAGCGATTTCTTACCTGCATACCGACACTTGTGTCTCCCGCTACGAGAGCTTTGAGTTCCTTTATCAAGTGACGACTTTGTGAATTAAGAAGAGGAAAACTTTCTCTCATATTTCAAAAACTTTTTTTCGAAGTTTAAAGATGAGCTCGTATTCAATATATCAGAAATAGATTCTCTATCATTATGCTCGAACCTTGGTGTATAATAGTCGTACTACACCTTGTCAATTCGCGTTTAGTTCTATTACATATATCATATTGGCCAACTTATATCCCTAACCCGTCTAGCGCAACCACTATATATCGTTTTTCCGCTCTCACTCTCTGTTTTTCAACAGTTGCATATCGTTCTTTTTCAATAATCTGCACCTTCCGACAACTATCCTGTATTTTAGTTCACACTCTTCATCTTTTCATTCGAATATCTAGTAACCCGACAACTATATTTCGTCTTTTGGGTTTGTAACGGAGACATTTCAACTGTTTGTGTATGAGTACATATCGGGCTCAGTAAAATGCTGAAAGTTATTGTTATAAGCAGTTTGCATAGTTACATGCAAGTGCTATTAGTATGGCTAGCTACCAGCTGTCAGAGTAACTACATTTTGAGCACTAGGAACATGATCTATTCATTGGAGTAATGACTAATGAGTCTATGTCTCGCCAATGATTACAAGGCTAGCCAGAGTGAAGCTCTGAGTGCCTGGCGATACTCTACATCCCTTGAGAATAGTAATCCCACCAGTAAAACGGCGGAAACTATGCCTGGGAAAGTCTACAATAAGCGAAGAGCTCTACAGCAACGATTAAGCTTACATATGAGCGGCAGCTCATTCATGAATGC